CAGACCCATTACCCCGCCTATCTCCCAATGGCCCCCCAGGCCACCCCACCACCTTTCCCATACCCACCACCCCCGGGCATTCCCTGCCCAGTGAGTGGCACCACCATCCTGCCAGGTCCCCAGCTGAGCCTTAGGAGTCGCCTGGCCTCTTTTATCTCCTTTACCACACACAGACACAGACAGTAGGTCTTGTCTCTCCCCCTCTAAATGTTCTAATTCCCCGCCACCCACCTCAGTCATAGCCAGGGCCCTGGTTCAGACCCCTGTCTCTCCTTGTTATCTGGACTCTTAAAACAGGCCTCCAGTCTACCTCCCTGCCTCAGTCTCTTCTCCAAACAGTAGCCAGAGCAGTCTCTGAAAAGCCAATCTGACCTTGTCATCCCTGCTTAAACCCTCCCATGGCTCCCCTCCACTCTCAGCACAGAAGCCAAACTCCACGACTAAGACCTTGTGTGACATGTCACCTGCCCAACTCTCCAGCACAGACTTTCTCGAGCTCTCTGCCTTGGTACTATGGAGTTGATTCTGGTCTCCCACACGTACACCGTGTATTTTGGGCCTCACTGACTGAACACTCGATCTCATCTAATCCTCACCACCTCTGAGGGGACACTATTTTCATCTCCCTTTTACCCACGAGGAAGCTGAGGCACAGAGAGGGGAGGTGACTGGCCAGGACTGGCCCCTGGCTCCCAAGCTCACAGCATCACACCCTACGATGTCCTACATCCAACTTATTCTCCAGTCCAGGCAAGAGACTTTGTCACCACCCACCCTACATCCCCCTATCCAGCCCCCACTCAACATATACTCATCCAGATCCACCACCCTTTGAGCCAGGCCAGGGCTCAGAGGCTCACCCTGCCTGGGTGCCCCCAACCGCCTCAGGGCCCCTCCTTGATCTCCTCTGGCAATAAGTTGGGCCATAAAGTTTTCCCCGGGAGTGCCAGGGTGGGTGTGGCCCCAGCCCCTACAGTCTCACAATACGTCAATTGAGGCCACAGGGCCACTGGGGGCACCGGAAGGCCAAGGGGGAGGAAGAGCAGGCAGGCTGGAGACCCCAGAGGCCCTCTGCGTGTGCGTGGGTGGAGAGGAGCAGGGCTGGATCCAAGCCAAGACTCGTATTCCCCTCCAACCTCTTCCCCCTTGCTAATGCCCCGATGCCCTCAGGATAGAGTCAAACTCAAACCCCACCTAACATAGCCTCTGCCAGCCCCTCCAGCTCCATCTTATCTATCAGACACTCAGGCGGGCTTCCCATGTACTAACACTACCCTGAGCACTTTACAAAAATTAACTCACTTAATCCTTATAAATACCCTGTGAGGTAAGTACTAGCAATATCCCCACTTTACAGATGGGATAATTGAGGCACAAAGAGACAACAGAGCTGTACACAGTAGTGCCAGGACTTGAGCCCAGGCCACATAGCTCCAGAACCTGTGCTCTAATCGCTCCATTGTGTGGCCTCAGCTTCTCCCTTCCTGCGTCATTCCTGTTGCCCCAAACACACCTAACTCCTCACCTGTTACTTGCCGGTTCCCACTTTCATGCCTTTGTGCTCAATGTTCCCTCTGCCTAGAAAATGCTTTTCTTCTTATCGTGACAAGTTCTCCTTATCCTGAGGTGGTGCCCAACTCAAGTGTCACCTTCCCTATAAAGCCACCCTTGACCTGACCTGCTCTCTCCCAGCTGAGTTGGGAGCCTTCTGTGTTCACAAAGCACTTGGCACACACCTCCATGCAGACAGCCCTGGGACCAGGGGCTCCCGGATGTTGAGGGCGGGTCCTCACCTGGTATATGCCTGGTATAGGACTTGGCCCAGCTCAGGAAACGTTGGCGAATGACAGACTGAGATGCACGTACTGAGGCAGAGAGAAATCAGACCCATCCCTTGCCCTTGAAAAGCTCACAATCTAGTGGGAAAACTGACCCACCAACAGCAGCCCAAGATCCAAAAGAAGTACAAGGGTCTTCAGTGTCACAGGCTCCAAAGGAAGATGCGGTGCTGACCACTGAGAGAAGCAGGCGGGCTTCTCAGGGGAGTCAGTTTGTGGGCTGGGCCTTGAAGGATGGAGAAAATCTCCACTGGCTGAGTGGGGCACAGGTGGGCAGGAGAGACAGGGAAAGATTCCAGGCTGGCAGAGAGAAAGGCAGAGAGGTAAGAAAGCACGATGTACCGTGAGGGCCCAGTGGGTTCAGTTGAGCCGACAACTGCCCCAGACAGTGAGTGCAGGGGCAGGGCCCTCCCTACCTGCCTGTGCTCCTTGGAGTCCCTGCCAGCACCCAGCATGGTGCCTGCACCCAGTGGGTGCATTGTGACAATTTGCTGGAAGCAGATTGCATGCAGTATGAAGGCTTATACAATTCAGTGGCTGATTTAAGAAAAGGAATTCAAAATTAGTAATAAATGTAAAGGCAAAAGTGAATATTTATCTGTTCTGAGAATGGGAAGGAGCTTCACTTAACAGAGGGGCCCAAAGCTTAAGCTACATAGCTTCTCTGTTAATCCACCTCTGGTTAGAAGAATAAAAGGAGTTAGAAGGTTCTAGGGAGCAGGGGGGCACCAGGCAAAAACGGCCAGCGTTTCCTGTCACCCTCCAGGCACAGGTTCAGAGACAGCCTCTGAACCCTCTATCACCCTCCCAGACAAGCCACTGTGACCATGCTTCTGTGATGCTATGTGAGCCTCCCTGGCCACAAAAAGGCCAGATCCTCCCAGTTCAGAAGACTCTGGCCTCTGGAAAAGTGGCCAGAGGGCAAATGTTGGCGCCTGAGACTTGATTGCTGGTCACCTCCTGGTGACCTTGGGCAAGCCTACCCCGGTGCTCAGGGGTCATGGTGGGTCTGTTCTGAAAAGCTCCTTTTCATTCTGATATTTGGCTCGTCTGAGCCAGCTGAGGAGGCTCTCCTAGCAGGGCGGTCAGAGAACTCATTCATTCAATCTCCCAATGCTGAGATCTCACTTGGGCTGCAGGGCACTAGGCTGGGAGGTAGAGGGTGGGAGGTGAGGGCACATGCCCTCAACATCCCAGCCCAGTGTGTGTGTGTTGGGGCCGGGGGGGACTTAGACGTGGACATAAATAATTATAGAGCCTTCAAACTGAGGGAGCCAGGCCAAAAGCAGGCTGCCTGGAGGAGTTCAAAAGGGCTTCTCAGAGGAAGTGAAATTTGACTTGAGAGATGGAACATTGAACATTTACTGAGCACTATGTACCAGGCTCTGTACTAGGCTCTGAGGATATAGCAGTGAAGACAAATGGGCATTTAGCCTCAAGGGTCTTCCCTTCTGCCCAGCAGGAAAGCAGGAATATATTTAGGAGAGAAGGAGAACAGGGCCCCCAGATAAGGGGAAGAGCAGGAGCAACCACATGGAGGAGACTGATGCATGCTGCCTGTTGGTGGATCTGAGAGAAGTTTGGTGTGAGGGGAGAGGGAGGTGATGGAGTGATGAGGCTGGTGGGGGTAGCACAGAGCAATAATGGAGGGGCTGGAACACCAGGCTGAGGACCTAGGGCTTGATCATGCTGGCAACTCGGTGCTGGAGAGGTTCTGAGCAGAGGGAGAAGGCACAAGGTTTCTTAGCACCATCACCAATTACACCATTGCATACACAAGACAAAACTGCCTCCTACCAGCCCTCAGGTTCCAGGGAGCAGGGTGAGCTTGCTGGGGCCAACCTCCCCACCCCTAGCCCCTGGGCATGGCTGAGAGGGCACCCTCATGCCCCAATCCCCACTCCTCCAGCCTGGACTTTTGCCTCCAGCTCACCCTTTTCCTCGTTCTTTCCACCAGTCTCTCAGTCTTAACTTTGGTGCACTGTAAAGAGGAGATTTAGGCAGAGCCTCTGGGTCCAGGCCGTAAGGACAGCGCAGGCCCCACAGAATTTGCCTCCAGGGGACTATCAATGTTTTCATGCTACCTGGTTTCCCTACAAAACGTTCTCATATTAATGACTGGCTTAAAAACTTCCCAGGGATCCCCCCTGACAAGTGAATCCAAACTCAGAGCTCGTCAAGGCTTGAGCCTCAGCATTAAGGATCATGAGGAAGACCCCAACACAGTTTTTGGTCCTTAGAATAAAGTCCAAACTCCCTGCTGTCTGTATCCATCTGCTTCTCCAGACTTCTCTCTCACACACCTCTGCTCTTGACTTCATATCTTAAAAACTGCCAGCGACCTTCCTCCCGGGGATGGGCGCTGGGAAAGAGGAAGTGTGGAAGAGAGATCTGCTCTTTATTTTCAAAAATTTATCTTTCACGGCTTCCTGAACTCTGAACATTTCACAGCATCCAACTCTCACCTCCAAGCGCTGAGTTCTAGAAGCCAGAGAGGGGCAAGATAAGGCCGGCGACCTTCCCGCGGACCCCTACCCCCAGGTATCCCATTTCGTCTCAACCCTACCTCGCCCGATTCTTTTCCTATCCCGACCCCCGTTCTTTCCCCCACGACTCCCCTACACGGCAGTCCCCTTGTCCCCGTCCCAAACAAACCGGTCCTCCTCGCCTCTCCCTCCATCGGGGTCCCCACGTAAACCCTCTCCCCGGCTCGGCTCTTTAAGAAGCGCCTGCCCCTCCATCGTCCTCTCTCCAGCCTCACCTCTCCTTGCCTGCCCGCCCTCCCCGAGGTAGGGTCCACGTTCCGCACAGCTCCGTTCTCCCCCCACTCTCTGATTGGCTCCTGCTGCCCGACGGCGCGGGGCCCGGGAAGGAGAGCGGATCTCTCCTGCACTGCCACAGCATTTGTAATTGATCAGAGGTCACTGGTTTAGGCAAAAAGTATTAAAGGTGGCCATTAAGACAGAACATTATCAGGACAAATGAACAACAAGGATCTGGGTGTCATAGAGCCACAGGAGGGTCGGTTTTGATGGGAGCAGGAGGACGATGCTCCCTTTACCGAGGACATCAAGGTCTGGGAGGGTCCAGATGGCAATGTGGTGCGCCCCGTTTTGCCGAGCGAGCCGAGTCGGTCCTGGGAAGACTTCCCCGCCGGGCTCCGGCCGCTGCGCCTCCCCGCCGGCGCCTGCCCTGCCCTGTCGGTCCCAGCCCCGGGCTCCGCGCCGGGACGCTCTCGGCCCGGAGGTCCGGGGCGTGCGGTCGGGACACCCCAGCCCCGGCCCGGATCCAGTGCACCGGCGGGACGCTCCTGGCCCCACCGTACGGGTCCGTGGTTGCGGGTTCGTTTCCAGCCTTTCTATCGGCGCGTGTTGGAGCCCCCAGTCCTCCGCCCTCGGGTTAGCGCAGGGTGGTCTCAGCCACCCCACCCCTCTCCCTCCACCTGAGTGCAAAGGAGCCCGGGCACCCCAGAATCTGACTCCCCGAGACCCTAACCTTCAGCTGCCTCCGACTGAGTGCTCCGTTCTCGGAAGAGTGCGAGCGCCCGGGAAGCCCCGGCCGGGGTCCAGCGCCCCGTGAGGGCAGGACCGTGGGACTGAACCACAGGGCTGGTGCTGGGACCCGAAGCTGCCACCTTCCTGCCGCTCCAGGCGAGGGGCTCAGCGCTTGCCCCGAAGAGAACACAGGGGCCCCCTTCTGCCCCGGCGGCCGGCGAGAGCCGAGACTGCAGGTGAGAGCCCCGGATGCCGGGCAGGGGCGGTCCCCGACCCCACCGCAGCAGCACCCGGGCCAGCTGAGGGTGTGTAAGGGGAACTGGCAGAGGCTGGAACTGGCTAGGAGGGGGCGCGGGAAAGGGAGGGGGATGGGAGAAAACGGGCACTTATTGAGCGCCCATTGTGTGCAGGTCCGCGCCCCGCCCTTGCACAAATGGTCCCTCATTCGAGGCGCACTGCTACTCCACGAGATAGAAGGTGTTGTGTATTGTTACGGGCGCTTGCAGACGGGGAAACTGAGGCTCAACGGGGATGAATGACCCTCTCTTTTCACACTGGGGATGAGAGTGTGGAAGAGGGACAGGCTAAAGAAGGAAAGAAGCCGAGTGAGCGGAGAAGAAAGGAAGTGGAGCACCAGCAGGCGGGGATGTGTGTGTGTGTGGGGGGGGGGGTTCATAGTGGGGCCACTGGGCCCTCCAAGCGCTGATCCTGAGGCTGAGGAGGTGGCTTCTCCTTGCCTTCCACTCCCAGAAAAGGTGACCAAGAATTGAGGGCAGAGGTTGGAAGCTTCCCAGTTCCAAAGCTTCTCTCCCATGGATCCGGGATAGGAGAGCAGCTGCTCCTGGTCCCTATGTGCCAGACCCCAGGGTCTCTAAGACAGTCTGGAGATCCTGAGACGCTGCTTATCTGTTGGGGAACTCACTGTAGAGGTCCTCAAGTCAGATCCCATCAGAGCTGGAAGGGATCTGGCCTCTCAGCAATTACCCAGCTCACCTCCTTCACATTAGTAATAGGAACACTGAGGCCCGGGAGGGGGGGGGGGGCGGGGGATGGGACCAATTGCCCCCCAGGCCCTAA